CTGTGCTTGCCGTAGTCGCAACTGTTGATGCACGGTCTTGATCGTGTTGCGGGATCGGTTGGCCGGCAAAGAGATGTGCAAGGCTGCTTAAAGCCGCGGGGGAGCCTTTTCTCTGTTCGCAAGTTCTTTGGCGGTGCTTGCGTTTTTGTTGCTCTGCTTGCCATGCAGTTCTGATGTAGTCGCAACTACAGATGCACGGCCTTGATCGTGTTGCGGGATCGGTTGGCCGGCAAAGAGATGTGCAAGGCTGCTTAAAGCCGCGGGGGAGCCTTTTCTCTGTTCGCAAGATCTTTGGCAGTGCTTTGCGCGAACGACTGGCAGCCTTCCGGTGCAGCCGTTGCAAGGTTTTGCGACGCTTCGTGAATTTGAATACAAGCTGGCAATGCTCGGATGCCGCCTTGGCACGATCCTGCCGTAATAGCTGGGCATTGAGCAAGCGTTTATGTTGCTCTCGTTGCCACGAATTTTCGCAGTTCTGATGTAGTCGCAACCATTGATGCACGGCCTTGATCGTGTTGCAGGATCGGTTGGCCGGCAAAGAGATGTGCAAGGCTGCTTAAAGCCGCGGGGCAGCCTTTTCTCTGTTCGCAAGATCTTTGGCGGTGCTCTGCACGAACGACTGGCAGCCTTCCGGCGCAGCCGTTGCAAGGTTTTGCGACGCCTTGTGAATTTGAAAACAAGCTGGTATTGACTGGTAATGCTCGGATGCCGCCTTTGCACGATCCTGCCGGAATAGCTGGGCATTGGGCAAGCGTTTTTGTTTATCGCAGGAGCGTTTGCCAAGCTTAGTTTGCTCGACGGCATTCACATTCTACCTTGCGTCCCAGAGCTTTCAAAGCCTTGGCAAACCTGGAGTTGTTCCAGCCGGTTTGCCTAAACCCTAAACTCTTATAAACCCTTTTAAACCCTAAAGCCCTAAACCAGTTTATGGAGGCAAGCAGCCTTGAAGATGGGAGCGATCTGGAGATCTTGCGCAGAGCTGCGCCAGAGCTTGGGCTTCTTCTTGTGTTGAGTTTAAGATTCAGGGTTTAGGGTTTAGGGTTTAGGGTTTGGGGTTTAGGCGAGTGCTTGGCATCTTGCCGCCAGAGCCAGACGGGGTTTTTCTTCCGTTATATCTGGGCCGTAAGATGGAAAGACTCGTTCAAAGGCTCGTCATTCAGAGGTTTTCCCTTCAGGAGTCGCAGTGCTGTGTGCTGGCAAGCGCGTTTTGGCGCTGTTTGTATTGATATGAGGCCATGTGGCTGGGAACATGAAGCCCAGTTAGCAGCATGCTGCCATCAAGTCGGGGGGAAGCGCGTGGCGTGTTGATTCGGGGCGGAGCTCCAGCTGCTGGGTCTGCCTGATGAATGGAGCAGCGCCATCTCGGATTCTTGCAAGTATGATGCTGCCTATAGTATCCAAGCAGTTGATTGTTTCGCAACCCTAAACCCTCAACCCGAAACCATAAACCCTAAACTTTGCCCTAAACGCTATCGCGAGTGCTTGGATGTAAGAGTTGGTTTCAAGCGACCTTGCAGCGCAATTGCACGTTTCCTTCACGGCAGCCCAGGCACTGCACGCAGCCCTTCTTGGGGCAGCATGCGGAGCTGCAGCTCATCGCAAGATTCCGACTGCTCAATCTGCAAAGCTGCTTGCTTCTTTGGAAGAAGCAGCCATGGACTCTAATTTCCCCATGTGCACGCAGACCTAGTGGACCGATTCTGCCCAAGACTCATCTTGAGCTGTTGCGCGGCAATCAAGATTGCCTCCAAGATGCTATTACCACCTCAAGCATGGCGTCGATGAACAAGAGCTGTTGCATCATTGTTGCGAAGGATTCCGGCGAAGCAAGCATTGTGATGCCAGGATCCATACCGGTTGCCAGGCTCCGCAAGCAATACGGTGGATGATATAAATCCTGCATTACCTTAAAAACCCCAAACTATGGGAATTATGGTATATTCCTTATTATGGGTAATGCAGGATTTATACCATCAACCGTAGCAGTAGCATTTGCCACTCAGACGTGTCGCCAATTTGACAGCACGTATTCTGTTTTCCGGCACGGTGCAGGCTTACATTGTGTTCACTCTGGATGTAAAGGATACGTGGAAGGAGCTGCATGAATCAAAGCTCATTACAGGTGGGTAGCTCAGGAGGGTAGTCTTCTGTAGGCCTCCCGTGCCATTCCAAAAAGATGGGGTCTTACGCGAGTCCCATCTTGAAACTGCCCACCTGTAGAGGGCTGACAATGAACCTGGGGCCCTGGGAGAGCGGATGTGATACAGCTTGGTTTGCCCAGTGCTGAAGAGCACCTCAGTTCCTGCACGGAGGAATGCCCGTCAGCCGCGTAGACCGGCGCTTGCATGAGGTAGGTTTACCATAGCAACTCGGGGCCGTAGCCCGGTGACTCAAGACAGGTCTTGAAGAATCATGTCACGTTACCGTGAAAGTAAGTGAATCTCTCTCATCGTAGTGCCACGAGGTAGTCCAACCGTGAAGCCCTTGCAGAACGCATTCGATCCCTCATAGCATTAGAGTTTTTGCAATCACCACAATCTTCCGAGGCCTTTCGGTGCAACGTGTCGGATGATTCTTTTACGGCCAACGACTAAGAAACGGTTTGTTCTCTGTGTGTCGGTGGTCCATCATGGCCCACCATGCCTCTTGTTGTCATCCTTCTCCTTTGCATTCCAACCAACCAGTGCCAAAGAGGTGCACGGAGCAATCGAGCAATCTCCCCTTGAGTTTGTTCTGTTTTCAGCTGCTATTCAATGCTGTCCGTCCTTTGCACAGCAAAAAATGGGCTCCAACCAGGGAAAGCTTCTGCTATCACTGCGAATTTGATTTCGGTCCATGCAAGAAAAGGCTTTGGTAAGTGACGTTGGGCCGGGCTTCGACCGGAATTCCTCCAATTCTGGCATGAGGATTGTTGAAGGCACCCCAAGCAAAAATCTCTGTTTGGCAGAGCACGTGGTCGAGCTCACAATCTTTACGTGGTGCTGGTGGGCTAAAAGTTGCTCGCAGACCCCGCTTGATGTTGCAGCTCCTGGCAACCACATGTCTGGCTTGAAAAAGCTGTGCTCGATCCGCTGGACAGGGATTTCCCGGTCGGACATTTTTCCGCATGGCTTTCATGCCCGTGGGAGACCATATGCTGCGTTCCCGCAACGTCTTCGCCACCACTTAATGACGAGATTGAGAAGTCTGCAGCACATGGTCGAAGGTCTTGCCTACAGACTCTGGGCTATTTTGTTACGTCAACGCAGGCAGCCAGCCACCTCTCAACATGCATCCAGTTGTGGCGCATATGGCCTTATGGTTCGATGTGAGACAAGGCGAAAATTTGGTTGGACACACCAGCGTTTTTGATACCAGCTTCGTTCCGAGCTGCTTCACCAGTCTTTGTCGTATCGGCGGTCCTTTCTGACAACCCACAGAATGATGGTTACAACAATGTTTGGCATTAGCCCGTGCTGTGCTTTGGGTTTACAGCGTGCAGCTTCGGATCCAGTAGAATATATATCTCCGTAGATTTCAGGAAAAAGATAAGACGGTGCCAAACAGCCAGTGTTGCAGGAGCGAGTGTCCATGTGGTCTTGACGATGCGCTGTTGTGGCACTTCATTACAGTAAGCCTGCCCATAAATCCTGGCTTGTGCTTACCGAAAAGAGCCGATTTGTTGAGTTTGACAGGAACGAGGACACGCTAACCGCTAAACCCTAATTCCAACACCGCGGCATCTCTCGCATGCGGTGCTGTTTTGAAGGATTCACCGCTTGCAGTCTTTGCTTCGCAGCAATTGCGGTTCATGTCGGATTGTAAAAGACTACCCAGGGATGTGGAGATTCGTGTTGATGGACTGCATTTCAGACATGCGCGCTTTGCGAATGATGGCAAGGATTGTTGTCACATTTTACCACCTAACGAAGTTTGCTCAGGCTCCTGAGGAGATCTTTTTCGGGTTTAGGGGTGTAGGGTTTAGGGCTTAAGGCTGTGCGGGCAATAGCATATCATCGGCGAGCAGCGTCGGTCGGCTTCTTGCACCACCATCAGAAACTTTCAAGCTGCCTACCGGGGTAGGGATTCGTAAGCATCCGATAAGTCGACAGCGCAGCAGAAGTCACAAGGCCTTCCGAAACCACTGAAAGTCAGTGCTTCCGACACATACTCACATGCCCTGAAGATGACAGGCCTCGGCGTTGCATCTCTTCCGATACCACGTGCCCAGAGCTGAGTGTAGGCACACGACTGCTAGGCGGCAAGCGATGACTTTTCACCACAGTCGCCAGGGAGCTCGACCTTAGTCCTACGAGAGACGAGTACGAACAGGCTTCCCGGTTCGGGCCGTTCTTGGAGAGCTTCGTCCGTACAGATGCATGGCGTCCGTGCGGCCTTGCAATCGGTTGGTGGGTTTGAAGTGCTTCCTCTGTCTGGAAGATCTGATGCCGCCGCTGCCGCCTCACACGTGTCCGTCGCACGCGTATAGCAGCCGAGCGCATGTTCCGAAACTTCGGCGCTACGCGTGGTGTCTGACCCAACCTCGAAGAGATGTGGTAGGACGTGTTTTGCTGCAATCTTTTTCTGTCTTGGCGCCCTAGGAGATTGCCCGCTTCTGGCATTTGGAGATGCTGGGATGGCTGGCACATTCTACCTTTCAGGCTCCGTCGCCCTGGACCAGCAGGGCCGCCATACAACAGCCTCCTAAAGGGGTAAGGGTTCGCAAGAATCCGGGAAGTCGACAGCGCAGTTTGAGAGGGGCGTTTTCTGCAGCATCGGAAGTCACAAGGACTTCCGAAACTACTGAAGGTCAGTGCTTCCGACACATACTGACGTGCCCTGAAGATGACAGGCCTCGGAACCATGTGCCCAGAACTAAGTGTAGGCACACGACTGCTAGGCGGCAAGCGATGACTTTTCACCATAGTCGCCAGGGAGCTCGACCTTAGTCCTACGAGAGACGAGTACGAACAGGCTTCCCGGTTCGGGCCGTTCTTGGAGAGCTTCGTCCGTACAGATGCATGGCGTCCGTGCGGCCTTGCAATCGGTTGGTGGGTTTGAAGTGCTTCCTCTGTCTGGAAGATCTGATGCCGCCGCTGCCGCCTCACACGTGTCCGTCGCACGCGTACAGCAGCCGAGCGCATGTTCCGAAACTTCGGAGCTACGTGTCTGACCCAACCTCGAAGAGATATGGTAGAACGTGTTTTGCTGCAGTCTTTTTCTGTCTTGGCGCCCTAGGAGATTGCCCGCTTCTGGCATTTGGAGATGCTGGGATGGCTGGCGCATTCTACCTTACAGGCTCCGTCGCCCTGGACCAGCAGGGCACCCAGTTTTTCAATCCTTTGTTTCCAAGTCGCTCTTTTTGCACCGGCGCGAAAGCATGCGTTGTCGAACTTCACCCATTAACTTCACCCATCAATGCAGGGGGCAGAAGCTTCGCAGAGTAGTTGTTCTCCGACAAATGATCCAATGGCAAAACGTTTTTGATCGAGATGGATGTGTACGTTTGTCACAAGTAGGAGTTGATCACAGGGGTTCTTGTGGTTCTGTGTAAAGATTGTGGACGGTTGCTTGCTTGACCCTTGTCAGATCCTTCTCCAAAGGTTGCAAGGGTGAGATCACGGTGTGCTGCTCGTGGTGTGCGAGCTCGGTGTTGCATCAGGCGCAGGCGGAGTTGGCTGCGGGCATGTTTTTCATAGCGAGAACCATCCGTCACTCGCTTCTGGTAGCATCCTGCAAGACCAGCACCACCAATTCGTCGTGTCGAATCCTGCTAGGTCTAAGATGCTGGCAGTGCGGATCCCGACAGGAAACGAATCAAATGCTGGAGCACAGTAAAGTCCGGCAACGCATTGTTGCACCCGCGTGGCCGTTCCTCCTTCGAAACCGCGAGCAACGTTGCAAGTGAACGGCTTGAGCCTCCAGTCTTGAACCTCAAGAAGCCCATATTTGCATCAGGTTTGGGGGCCGCATCACAGCGCTTGAAGTGCTGCTAGCGTCTTGTTCTCGATACATGCGCAGGCTATCTACGGCAACCGAGACCAAGAACATCAGGAAGGGAGCACCAACAGACCTCGGGTAGTTCTCTTCTGCTCAAGCCGTGATAGCGAGCTCGTTAGTTTATTTGACTGCAAGGCTGCGAGGATCTGAACTTTCACAGTACAGGTTCAGAAGCAGAAATATTTCGAGCGTAATTTCTCAAAACAAATCCCACGAGCCGGAAGGGCTGTGTATAGCACCGGCCAAAGTAGCTTCCAAGAATGCTTTTGGCACCCGGCTGTCCTTCCAAACAAGCTTTACTTATTTCCATGCAGCAGCAAATCCGCTTTGCATGATATCACAGGACCCGTGTGATCTCCGAAAGCTGATGTTGGCTTTCGCGCCGAGCCAGGAAGTGGCAGGTGTTGTGCATCATTCTAAGCTTTTTTTTGCGGATGTTGCAACGGTTTCAGAAGACCTCGCCCTCCACACTTCGTGCGCTGGCGCAGCCACACTACAAGCGAGCAGCGTTGAGAGATTCCCGCATTCCCTAAACCCTAAATTGCCCGCGGCTGCAAGCCGTAGATTGAGAGCTTATTCCACGAGCGATTTGGCATCAGGGCGGCGCAACACAGTGAGATATGCCGTTGCATTATTCCGCATTGCTGTGGCAGGAACGATATCATAAGTGCATGTCTCATTCTGGTCTCTGTGGTTCCCTATGACCGATAAGATTGCGGCTTCGATGCCTCGTTGCAGCATTGCAGCAGCAAGAGACATCTGCTGCGAAGAGGTACCGGTGAAGATCTTACCAAGCAGTGGAATGAGATTCGTCGGCGTTTCTTCTGTGTGCAGGACCTTTCCACTTGTAGCGCCCAGTTGATTCAGCACACTAGCGCCGATTCAAGCGTCTGTGTCGCGTGCGCCTGTGCTTACATGAACCCGTTACGGCAAGCAGCGGCTGACAGAGGGAGGCATTCAAGCCAAGGCTCGGCACGGCTTTCCGCGAGCTGCGTGAAGGCGGCGACAGTTCGCTTTTCTTCCCAGCTGGTGTCGTCATGAATGCTTTGCCCAGGTATTGAGATTGGTGTTTTCCGAGCCGCGACTGCCTAAGACGGGCTGGATATCGTTTCACTTGCACTTGGCGCACGCTGCCTCGACCAAAACCTGAAGACTAGTTCAAGCCCCTATTGGCGATTTGCCCGATTAGCTAGCCAGCCAGCCAAATCAATTTGCTCAAATTGGATCTGCTTAACTCGTCACCCAACCAAATTGGCTCAACTGCTAAATTGGCACACCTAGCCCACTTGGCTGCAAGTTGCCCAATTGGCTAGGATATGGGGAGGGGGAACCCCACAACAATGCCACAGGGAGGGGCAGCAGAGGGAATTTCGCAGGGTACAGGGAGGGGGAACCCCACAACCACCCCAGGGAGGGGGGAAAGTCACAAAGGGGGGAGGGAGGCATCCTGGACCATGGGGGGGGGCGTCGTCGCAGTGGGAGACCGCCCGGGCCGACTTGTAGAAGTAGGCGTGGGCCTCACAACACGTGAAGGCCACGGCCCGGTTCTCTTTGACCGGAGACTGGTAGGCGTCCAGGAGCTCGCCGCGGCAGCTTCTCGGGTGGCATCGTAGCAGCAGAATTCCTGGGACAGCTCCAGGATGGGGTCTCTGTCGTTGGGGTTCCCCAGCTGCCGCAAGGCCGCTTCCTTGACGTGGGCATGGGCCTGCTGGTCGCTGGTGATTTTTTACGGGGACGTGGGCCAGCCAGTCCGTGTACTTGTCGCGGAAGCAGGCCTTGCCCGGCTTGGTGAGGTGGTAGCTGCCGTCGGGCTGGAGCGGAGGAGAATGTAGTCCGTGGGCTTTTCGTGGATGAGGGGCTGCTGCTCGTCGAACTGCCTTCGAGGGGGGGCGGCCTCCCACGAGGCCGTAGTAGAACTGCCCCGCTCTGGTGAGCTCGCCGTTAGGGCGGGACAGTAGGACTTCGCGCAGGCGGTTGTTCGCGAGGGGGAGCCCTGGGCGTTCGTCGTCGCTCTGACGCCGCCCTGGGCCGCACGGCGGATGGCTTCGCGTTGCTGTGCCCAACTAGACATGATGTGATTTTCTAGAGGGGCAGCAGCCGGTAGTCGGTGGACGAACGTGGCCGGAGGCAAGGTCGGAATTCCGACCTTGGTATTTGGATCCCAAAAAACTGCCAAAAAAAGGGCAGCATTTCGTTCCACACGCCCGACTGGGGGCCTCCCTAGAGAGAGCGGCCAGCCCAGGCCGGAATTGAGACAGAGCATGGACGAGTTTCTCGTCCGTGCTTTGACCACCGTTTTCGTCGACAGATGCTGCAAAAAAACGGGCAGCATTCCGTTCCCCGACAGCCCCCCTCGGAGGGGGACTGAGAGGGTATCCCGCCCAGGCGCACAGGCCTGGCGGTGGCGAGATGATGCCCGCTGACTGTCAGACGCCTTTACTACTTGCGACGCCGCCCGGAGTTTTATGCTGGAACTGCTGGAACTGCCGTTTTCGCTGGGTGGTACCAATGATTTTGCTGTTTTTGATGCCTTGATTTTGATTTCTTCAGTATTGCTTGACTCTCTCTGATCTAATCCGTTCGAGAGGGAAAAAGAGCATGCATGGCGCAGCCATGATGACGTCCATGGTCTTATCCGTTCCGGACGTCCATGGCCCAACCAGGATGACGTCAGGTTCCCATGCTTTGTGGGAACGGAATATCCGTATCCCAACCATTTGCGACGTCCAAAGTCGAATCCGTGAGAAGAGGATTATCCACGGCCCATCCGTGATGACGTCCATGGTTTAATACGATGTGGGAGCACAACATCCATGGCCCAACCATGATGACGTCCAAGGATTAATGTGTTGTGGGAAGACAGCATCCGGGATTGGTTTGAGAAGGGAGCGTCCATGGCCGAACCTGCCGTTTTTGTTTGGTTTTGCCGATGTGTTTACTGTTGCCGATGGCCTGACTGTTGATGTTTCCATTCTTGTTGACTTTTCGGTTTTCATGAAAACAGAGCATCCATGGCCTAGTCATGCTGCTGTCCAAGGTTTTTCTGTTTGGAAGAATTTAAAACGATAACGCCGACCATCATGATTTTGTCCTCAGACATGCACAACTTTTTTTGCTGTTCCGGGTCATTCCAAACCCAAGCCGCAGACACGAATCCCCAATAAATTACAGCATTTAGTTGGGTTCCGGAATGGTGAAAATGCCATGGCCGCAAGTCACCGGCCTACGTCGTTTCACAGAGGGATCAGCAAAACTGCAGCGGACAAACCTTCAAATCACGACGCTTTGAAACGTTTGGTAAGCGGGCTGTTTATGATTCTTGCCAGTCTACGAGTCTAAGATCCGCGTTTGTAACATGGGTTTTGCTTTACCGTTTGTGGTTGCGCTCATGAGTTCGCATGTAGTGTCGTCGTACACTTTGTGGCAGTTTGGAGCATTCCAAAGTGCGGCCGGCCTTGGTCCCTCGGCAAGGAGGCATGATTGCCGTGTATTGTGCCAACATATTGGGAGACTTCAATTCGCCGGCCCAGGGCAAGGAACTGTACAAGTACCGTGGCAAAAAAAAAGGAGCCTTGCGATGTGTAGTTCACTACGTACGCAGCTTGCAATTTGTTGCCGCAGCAGCCGGCAATCGAGGTCCGTGGCATGCCGAAAAGCAAAGCGGGCGCCACACCTGGGACAACAGCACAACCCTATCCGAAAAGAAGCACGGCAACCCAAGAGCCGGGTTTCTTGTGTTCCGATAGGCCCTAAATTTTTCAAACCAGCCTCAAACTTAAGCTACTGCCACCGGCCGCAGCCGCCCTCATAACCCGCTTCCCGAAGAACGAGCGGTTCAGCAGACAGGCTATACAAGGCTTTACGGCAGTGGGATGAACAGGTGAGATGTAGTTTTGTGTAGTGGAAAGCAAACGAGAGGGCAGATTCATAGAAACATGTATGTGCAGATGTACACAACACTTGGTTATCAATGAGCACAATTCAGCGTTAGTCTTGCGATCATAGAGAGTGATTGCCTGGGCTACATGGTGTATGCCGTCGCCGTCAGCCATGAAGCGCTCGTGTTTGTTTCAATCTCCATCAGCTGCCCGGCGCTTAATCTGAAAGGTGCCTCAGCAAGAACCCAGGAGCTGCACAAACATGTACATGCCCGTATGCATGTAGGTGTGCTTTCATGCATCAATTGACGTAAGTACACCAGTAGTTTACGCTCGTATTCGTTTTTGTGTGATTTATGCAAATGTGGGTAAGAATATGTATGCGAATATGAATATGTCCACATGGATTTTTTCGATATGGGTGTGGGATTGAGTATGAATATGAGAGTAAGTGTGATTTTGCATATGTGTGTGGATATATATATATATATATATATATATTATATATATATATATATATATATATAACTTGATTTATTTCATATACATATGCATATGATGTGATGTGTGTATGTTAAAGCCTTGGCTTCCGACCTCCCTGTCCGAACACCCTCGGGCACCGCTCCGTAGCCAGAAGTGTACCATTTCCACGCCTTTGCTCCACATCGAGACACATAGTGAGATAAGAGGGATGGATGGATGGATGGATGGATGGATGGATGGATGGGATAGATAGGTAGATAGATAGATCAAGCTGTGCAAGCGATTGTGGTAACTGTCACTTCTCCACTGAGGTACCTGGCTTCGTCGGCTTGAAGGGCAGGCGGGGTGGCGCGGTGCGGGAGTTCTTGACTGTTCTTGAGCCCGCGAGGATTCCATCGTAGGGTCGGGGTGGGTGCAGAGGATGTTTGAGGAGTCCCAGTTTCTTGTAGTCATTGCAATGTTTCTGCAGTTCCGAAGCTTCGAGGTGTCCCTTAATTGGCGGGCCTTTCCTCGCGAGTCGTCAGGATGGCCACAGTGTCTTCGGCGGCTTTACAGGCGGCTTCAGGAGTGGGAGGCACGCGCCGGCACATGCAGAAAGGCTTACAGGGCCTTGGGGTTCTTGAGTTTTGTGTTTTAACAGGTTCAGGCGCCGTAAAGTTTCGGGTGTAGGGGTTCATTCAGGGTGGCTGGTGCTTCCTGGAGATTCGTGAGACGCATTAAACCCCGCAGCCCCTCTGGACGAAGAGTTTGTCGCAAGCGATAAGGAAGCGCTTATATTTCTCCTTGCCAGTCACAGTTAGCGTCATCGTCAGTACCTCTATCAGTACTGATATCTTAGGTGTTGGTGGGACTTCGACTGTTGCTGGTGGGTGGGACTCTAAAACCTTGCACGCCATGATGTGACCATCGACGGTCTCGCAGCATCGGACATCCACGTATCGGCGCCAAGGCCGAAAAAGCTGGCTCGGGGCCTCTTCCAAGGAGTGTCGCAGCAGACATGATCTTAATCTTGTCGACTCAAAGCCCGGCGTCGGCGCTCGCAAGCTCGGGCGTTTTGGGTTTCAGCTCGCATCGAGGCGACGGGCCCCGGGCCCGGGCCTGTTCTTGCTCCACGCCAGGGGTGCACAGAAGAAGGGGGAGGAAATCGAGCAGGCTGCTGTGGAAGAACAAAGTTTTCCACAGTTCTCGGGAGGGGGGGGCGGGGTGGGAGGAGACATCTGGATCTGAGGATTCTGCACTCCGACGGCCGACGATCCGACCCAATACTGAGCACCTCTGCGCGCCTCCTAAACCTAAACCTGAACCCAGAGCGTAAACCCAAGCCTCCAGGCTCCAGTCAGCGTGGCCCACATTTGATGCAAAACCCAGCACCGGACTCAATCACAACCCTCCACACGTCCCAGCACCGCGGAGAGAGGCGCCCCGCCGAGAGGAGCACGCGGCCCTAAGAGCGGGGCCGGGCCCGGCAACTTTTAGTGGGCTCAGGCTGCTAGGCTTCCTTTGCATCCGGAGGGTTGGGTTGGGGGGGGTGCCGCAGGTTACACCCACTGCAGATGTTGAAGTGCATCCTCAGCCCCAAGGCGCAAGCCGCAAGACCCTCTTGGCTCCTGCGTTTCTGGGCTTGGGGATTTATCTGTGGAATCCGGCGTTTCAGAGTTGTCTGTGTTCCGCGGAAACCTTTCCGTGGAACCTTTCTGCCGAGCGCTCCCAACTGCACCCCCCGAAAAGAAGGGCCGGGGGCCGAGCTTTGGGCCGGGCTTGGGCGGGCAACTTTTTTCTTCCCTCGAAGGCGGCCACCAAGGGCACCGCCAGGCCGAGAGCGTCCAGTTCCCGCTCTATACAGGAGTCTCCAGCATAGTATGGCCTGCCCTCCGCTCTAACTCTTACTCTGGAGGTGCCTGTGACCATCCCCACATCTCCCTGCCAATGCGCCCATGCTTCTCGCCCTTGAGTTTGCAAATGCACTTGAGGTCACCGACCCTTGAGGGCACCGTTATTCATGTTCGTGAGGAAGCGTGTAGTCTTCTGTGGCGGCTTGCCGCTGGGATCATGCAACCCGAAGCGGCATTGAGGGAAAGATACAGCATAAACACCCGGCCGAGCCATCAAAGCCTTTGTTACGTGCTCGAACAAGAACTTTCGCCGCAGTTATACTGCTGCGATCTGCTGCGTCATCATGTCCACACTGAATTGAATGTGCGATCTTGCGGTCTCTGTGCGCAGCTTCACTGTTGCAGGGTCCATCTTTTGAAGATTGCACACGCGCTGCAGCGCGCTGTACATTGTGCAGCGCTTTGGATCTCCGAAACTCCCAGCTTCTCTGGTCATCGTAGGCCGCGCGTCGCTCCTCGTCGCTGAGGAATCGATGTCGGGTCTTGCATGGAATCTTCCCATCATCCCGTCAATCAATTTGATTGATAGACATATTGATCACCAAAGAGGTACCGCCATCGCATCTCCATGCCTGCACTTCCAGTGATAGGTGTTCTATCACCATTTCCAGCTTCTTAGATTCTTTTTCCTGTCAATGTTCCCTGGTCGCCCCGTGAAGGTAGTACAGTCCGGATTGATTTGGAGCTTCGTGTTTAAGGTATCGGATCTCTGGTCAGGAAAACAATGAGACGGTGTTTGTGCGCTCCAATCTACCACAGCTTCCCTCTGTGGGATCTGGCAGTTTCGAGTTGGACTTAGGCGATGCACTCGTGGATGCACGGCATTGCTCATCACAGAAGCTGCAACTCGCCAAGACCATAGAGTAATCGATGCCAGAGTCTCGGTATGTCTCGGTCGCGTCGAGAGATGTCGCCGGACGAGGCATGACTTCTGCGAGAACGGCGTGGAAGAAACCCACCCTTAACGGCTACGAAGGCATAAAGACATGCTAGGGCGGTGAAACCAGAAGGCTTGTATGGCGGCACAGGCGGCTATGGCTGGCTATCTGCTCTAATTGTCATCGGAAACGAGGAAAAGTACAAGAAGCTCCACGATGCCACCCACGGCGAACCGCCGGATGCAATATACCGCCTTCTCCGTAGCTGATCTGGCCCACCTACGCTTGAACTGTCCACATGAACAATGTTGGCATGTTGGGATACGGGCCAAGGGGAAACAAACAGAACCTGTGAGCTTCGGTCCTGGATCACTCGGGGCGGCTACTGTGTGGAGTGGCTGAGACGTCTTACAGGATACAGAAGAGGAGGGGCTACTCGCTATCCCCACCATTCAGGACCTGGAGACCGGCTGCAGCGCCCCACCAACCTGCATGCTGGGCTACGGCCTTTGACGTCCTCGTCAGGCAGAACCTTCACAGCAGGTCCAGCCAACGCATCCAGGTTCCACACATGCGTGTTGTGTTCCCGCAGTACTTAGTAGCGAAGTTTACATCGTTCCGGCTAACTAAGCTATCTCAGAGGCATCAACTGAACGCTCAGGGCTCTCGACTACACATCTCTACCTCAGTTGATCGGAAGCAACGGTTCAAAGAGCGTCCGTGATTCTGCAGCAGCGCCGCAGGCCCACGATGACCCTGCAAGCAATGCTCGCGGCTTTGAGGGGCAAGCCTGCGTTACTGACCAAGACTCCCAACACCCCAACACCTTCCCAGCCTTCCCAAGGCTTCCTGAGCCCTCCCTTTTGGACTTCCAGCAGCGGTGCGCGGCATCTTCCGGCGTGCGCATAATTCAGTGAAGTGCCCGCGGCCCTGGAGAGGACAAACCCGCGTCAGGTGAGCTGACTAAGCTTCCCGACGCTCTCCCCAAACTTGCTGGGATAATGAGTTGAATGTAGTTGACCACACTGAAACGAATCGGTCTCGCTGATCTCATTTAGCGATGTCGTGCTCAAGAGCCTTCAGCGGCGTACGATGCTTACGACACGGTTTGTGTAAGCTCTAACCGATAAGGTACTCGTCCATTAAGTATGCTGCGGAATGGTTTAATGTACGTGATTGTCGGGCTTTGGTTCTGATGGACGATAGCTTGTCCAGATTTGGGCTGAGATGTTGAGCGCCAATCGCCGCTGTCTCTGAGCTTTGACCGTTTCTAACCGATAAGGTGTTCTTATGTTAAGTATGCAGCGGGGTCTTGGGTGACCTCGGTAGCAACGAAAGGCATGATAGCCTACGCTACATGATTGCCGGGTTTGGGTTCTGATGAGGCTAGTCTATATTGGCGCAGCAATTAATGTTGAGCGTAGTTGAACTAACTGAAACGAAGCGGTGTCGCTGATCTCCTGAAGCGATGTTGTGTGCGCTCGAGTCTTCAGCGTGTGACGGTTATGTTACGACTTGTGTAATCTCTGACCCATAAGGTATCCGTGCGGTACGTATGCAGCAGAAGCTGCGGTGACCGTTGCTGTGTCGTTTTGGGCAGGCATGGTGGTTTACATTTTATGATTTCAGGTTTGGGTTCTGATGGACGATAGCTAGTCTAGATTGGTGCTGAGATGTTGAGCGCAGTTGACCAAATTGAAAGCAATCGGTGTCGCTGATCTCAGAGATGTCGTGCTCAAGACTCTTCAGCCTATGATGGTTACGACACGGCTGTGTGACCAGCCGAGGAGATATTCTTATGTTAAAGTATGCCAAGGAGGCTTTGGTGGCCGAGACTGTGAAAACTGTTGCGTTTCAGGTCTAAGCTTAAGTAAGCAGCAGAAGACATGGTGGCTTACGCTGCGTGATTGTCGGGTTTGGGTACTGATCGACGATGTAGCTCGTCTTGTGTGATGGTGGGATGCTGAGGGTAGCAACAAACTGAAACCCGTCGGTGTCGTTGATCTCATGAAGCATCTGCGTCTGATGGTCAGGAAGCGGATTGTGTAAGCTCGTTTGTATGTTAAGTGTGCAGCGGAAGCTTTCCGAGACTGTGTAAATTTGGGGTTTGATGCAATTAAGCAACAAAGGCATGGTGGCTTGCTTAAGGTACGTGATTTTCGGGTTTGGGCATTGATGGACGGTGGCTAGTGTGGATTGGTGCTGGGATCTTGAGCCTAGCTGAACAAACTGAAACCAATCGGTGTCGCTGAGCTCATGAAGCGATGTCGTGCTCAAAAGTTTTGAGCGTATGATGGTTGCGACACGGGTTGTGCAAGCTCTAGCCAGTAAGGTTTTCTTGGATTGAGTGTGCAACGGAAGCTGAGACAGAGTGAGTTTAGGGTTTCAGGTCTACACTTAATTGAGCAACAAAAGATATGGCGGCTTACGCGACGGGATTTTCGGGCTTGCCAGTGTAGTGCTGAGATGTTGGGCGTAGTCGAGCATCGCGAAACGGTTTATGTAAGCTCTAACCGATACGTTGTTGTTATGTTACGCGCATCTGCGACGGAAGTTTTGGTGGCCGCACTTTTGAAGTGTAGGGTTTAAGGTCCATACTTTTTAAGTAGGCAACCAAAGACATGGTGGTTTATGCTACATGATTTTCGGGCTTGGATACTGATGGACGATAACTAGTCTAGCTTTGTGATGAGTTGTTGAGTGTACATGCGTAAACTCAAACCTATCGGTGTCGTTGATCTCAGCATGCATCAGCATGTCATTGTCATGAAACGGTATGTGTAAGCTGTAACCAGCAGCGGAAG